GAGGCAGCCAGGAGGTGCTCGCTGCTGCCCCTTGCGTCCGTCTGCGCGCCCGCCGGTTGACGGCTGCCGCAGCCGCCTGTCGGTCACCCGGCCCACAGCCTGAGCGGGCGTCTTCTGATTGTTCAGCCTGTTTCTCTTCACCCCTGCCGGCTATCTTTAATGCCTACTGTCGCCATGTTTTTCAGCCTCTTTTTCCCTGGGTCTCTCTGGCGCTCCCCACCCTTGCCCTCGTCAGCCTTCTACCTCTTCTGCCCCTGACCTTGGTGACATTACGGACAACTGAGGCCCAGCTGGGGGCTCATCGTTCAAGGCTAGGAAGGGAGGATGTGCGAGAATGGAGGAAGGAAGTCCTGGGGCCGGGAGGGAGCCCAGCACAGAAGAGCAGAGTACAGAGTACGCTATGATTTGGGAGGTCAAAGGTCGGGTCTCTGCCAAAGTGGAGGGGCATGAACACGTACTGACCTGGAACACAGCCCAGACAGGCAGAGTGGTGGCTCTGGCCCACTGAGAACCCCTCCCATGGGGTTCCCTACCTCTCTCCACCTATTCTCCTAGACGCCATCTTTTAACCACGTGGTACCTGAATTGGTACCTTCTCCCCCCTGGCTGGTCCCCTGGATGGCTGACTGGGTATCTTTCTATATTTACCCTACTTTCTCATCACCTACCCCAGCCTATCTGTAAAAGGGTGAGCCTGGAGTTACCCCAGGCACTTGTTCAAAATCTAGGCCCCAGTCTAACCCTCAGGCCCTGGCTTTCTCAGTGGGTGGGGCCCAGGCAGATGGGAGCTTTTGAAAGCTCCCAAGTGATTTCTTGTGCACACCAGATTCAGAACCACTGGTCTGCATTTAGTAGCTATAGGATAATAAATAAGGAACTCTGGTGGTGTAGTGCCTAAGGCATTGGACTGCTAACCAGAAGGCTGGAGGTTCAAACCCACCAGCTACTCTGTGGAAGGAAGACTGGGCAATCTACTTCCGTAAAGATTTACCACCTTGGAAACCCAAAGGGGGTTGCTATAAGTCGGAATAGATTTGATGGCAGTGAGTTTGGTTTAGTTTCCCTTAACAAACTCTGGGGCCACTTAACTTGTTCACCAGTGTCCCCATGTCCGGCTGAGGGGCTGGCACGCAGAAAATACTAGTTTGTTGTTGCATCAATGCAGGAATGTGAATGCCTTGCTAATAATTATAATTTAAAAACTGAGATGGGGCCAGCTCTTCAGTTCAGAAGGGGCTGCCACATGGTCCTCTTTCAATCCCCAGCATAAGGGCTGTGACTCAGGCAAAGCAGGAATTCCATCCCCATTTTACATGAAGAGAAACTGGAAAACTTCACAAAGCTGAAGTGGCAGAACTTGAGTCTAAAGCAGGTCTGTCTGATTCCAAACTCAGTGTTTAGTGCAAGGCACATTTATACAAAAAAAAAAAAAAAAAAAACCAAACTCACTGCCATCGAGTCAATTCTACTCATAGCGACTCCTCCTTGGGTTTCTGAGGCAGTATCTCTACAGTAGATTGCCCCGTCTTCCTTCTGAGGAGTCCAACGCCTTAGGTACTACGCAGCCAGGGACAAATTGAATCAGATTCTCATTTGTCATGGCTCCGTTGTAGGGAAGATATGGCACTTTTGTGAACAACTCCAAAACAAAGTGTTTAAAAGAATGCTGCCTGAGCTGAAAGGCTGTGGCACTTGAAAATTAGGCCTTGAAGGGCGGGAAGGATTTGTGCGTGTTGGGGCGGGCAAGGATAGAGAAACCAAAGCTTGAGGATCACACCGCTAGTGTTTGTTCTAAAAGAGTTTTCCTACAACCACTAGCTAAACTGACTGCCCTGCCTCCGCCCCTTTAAGAATGGCCCCGCCCTACTCAGCCGTCCGTGTCAATCTAATACTAGTGGCCAATCGTTGGAGAGAAGAGATCACTTTCGCGCCTCAACCACACTTAGGAGGCGGGATAGAGGGCGAGGAAAAGGAAGCACCGTTCGGTCGTATGGCCCATCCCATTGGCCCGGGGCCCGAACGCCGCGGCGAGACTCGGTGACACTCATTGGACAGAGAAGGGTCTGCCCGGTACGAAGGCACGCCCCCCAGTGGCCGCGAGCTTGGTTGAGCGGCGGCGGGGGAAGGAGACGCTGCCCTTCTGCAGTGATGGGAGTCCGGGTAAGTGCCGGTCCCGGGCTTTGCCCGCCGAGCGAGTGGTCGGCGGGGCCAAGCCGGGGACTACGGTTTGCAGGGTCGGGCCTGGGCGGGGGTGTAGGTGTCCGGACTCAGACGGATTGAGATAGTTTTGGGGTTGGAATGAGCAGGTACCCGGCCGAGGGCGGCGCGAGAGGGTGCCCTGTTTGGGGGTGGAACAAGAGGGTACCTGGATCGTGACGCGAGGAGCTGCCCGGGTTTGGAACGTTGAGGGAGGAGGTCGGAGCAGAGATGCACGTACCTGGGCCGGGGCTGAGAAAGTACCCAGGATGGAAGAAGCGGGTGTCCGGGCAGTGGACGGCGCCAGAGGGATGCCCGGACAATCCCCAGGGATATTCTAGAGATCGCGGCAAAAGAGAAGATGGCCTGGCCGGGCCGGGGACTGCGTTAGGAGATGTTTAGGACGGAATGAGCATATTCTAGAGACGGGATGTTGCTGAGGTCCAGAGCTGGGCACCGAGAGAGGTGGAGTGCGGGAGAGGTGCCTAATGCCTGGTTCGACCGAGGTGCTCAGAGTAGAATGAACAAGAGATTGGGCAGAGAATGAGTCAAGGGGGTCCAGGGACGTTGCTGTGTTGAGCTGGAATTAGGAGGTACACGGGCCAGTCATTATTGGAATCCAGACCACGGGAGGAGGGACGTGGGACAGAAAACATGGGTGTCCATGTTGAAGGTGTTTAAGTACCGCGGTGTGGGTGGAATGAGGTGGTGCCCGCCCAAGGTTCTAGGGCAGGAGAGATGGCCAGACCCTACACAACATTAGGAGTGTCCATGTGGAGGGGCTTCTTGCCCTAGATTTGTCATCGAGGAGAAAAGGTAGGCTGTGGATAGACTGGATCTGGATCCATCCCTGGACTGAAGCAGGCTTGGGGAGCTGGTGTTTTTACCCTTGCACCTGCCGCTCTTCTTTGTTCAGTGTGGGCAGCAGATGCTGCCCTTGACTTTCCTGCAGACAATGCTGGACCTCAGTGCCTGCCTCTCAGGTCTGTTTCACTTTGGGAGCATGCTTAGGCTCCCTGTGGGCTCCTCATCCCCAGGTGTGTGGCATGGGTGAGGGAAGGGTGGTGATTTTAGCAGGCAGGACAGGGGAAATAACTGCTACAGCCTTGGGATCCCACGGAGCTGAGGTCACACTCTAGGTTGACCATTTACTCAGTGACCTTGGTCAGATGAATGAGCTCTGGTGGCATAGTGCCTAAGGCATTTGACTGCTAACCAGAAGGCTTGCAGTTTGAATCCACCAGCCACTCCACAGAAGGAAGACTGGGCAATCTACTTGCATAGTGATACCACTTTGGAAAACCAAGGAGGGGTTGCTATGAGTTGAATCTGACTTGATGGCAGTGAGTTCATTTTCGGTTTGGTATTAACTGAAGTCCATCGTTTATTTAGGAGCTCTGGTGACGTAGTGCCTGAGGCATTTGACCACTAATCAGAAGGTTGGCGGTTCAAACCCACCAGCCATTCACGGAAGGAAGACTGGGCAATCTACTTCCGTAAAGATTCACCACTTCAGAAACCCAAAGGGGGTCACTGTGAGTCGGAATTGACTCAGTGGCAATGAGTTTGGAGTTTTGGTTTTTGGTCAAATTGCTCACCTCTCAGCCTCAGTTTCCCCACTGTTCAGATAAATAATAATTATCATAAGGGTTCTGTGAGTGACTAGACACAAGCCCTTGTGGAGAACCTGTTCCAAGCCTGGCCCATAGTTAGTAGCTGTTGATCCTCTGACGTTCTTGTCTTCCCTCTGCTCTGAGGCCTGAGCCAGGCTTGGGGGGAGGAGGGGGGGTTATAGTATTAACTTGAGCCCTGACCACTGGAGGTTATATAGCTCAATCCATAACCTCCTGGCAGGATGTCTGTCTCCTACCCTTGACAACATGACAGTTTCCTTGTTCCTGGACCATTACTACCCCCCTCTACCCAAGCCCTAGTGCTAGTCAGATAATATTGTCCCTCCTTCCTCCTTACTGGGGATAAGCTGTTTCTTGTGCTGGCTCAGTGACTTTGGCTACCATCCCAGCTAGTCAGGGTCTGTCCTGGCCTGTATGTTCCTTCTGCTTGAAGTCCCAGGAGACTGTGAAAGCATCCTTGGGCTGGGTGGTAGGTGGAGGACACCCTACAGGGTTTTGGGGAGTGGGCTATGTATGATCAAGGCACCTATTTTCTTACCTTGGGATGGGGCACTGTAGTATACTGGCAGGGGGGTGGAGGTAGGGGGAGTGGTCTCAGAAGACCCCAGGGGAAAGCTGCCTTTGTGGTTTGGGGTTCTGCTGCTCCTTCCTGCTTTGTGTCAGGTTTAGCAAAAAGGTTGGATTGACCACAGACTCCAGAGTCCTATAGATCTTGGTTCCAATCCCAACTCCATTATATACCAGCTGTGTGACCTTGGGCTCCTGACTTACCCTCTCTGAGCTTCAGTTTCCTCATTGGAAAATGGAGGGAAGGGTTAGCATCTACTTCACAGAATTGTAATGATTCAGTGAAATAAAGTGTATACCACAGTCTACAGGAGGTAAAACATTCTTGGCTTTGTTGGGGGTAAAAAGATACAGGTGCCTGACTCTTTAGGGGCAGTAAGTTTTTGTTTAGCAAAAGGGCCGTGGGATTAAAAAGGTTGAGAAGCCCCACATTTGAGAATGACCTAACCATTTCACAGGCCCTGGATCCTTTCTTGGGCCAGTACCCTAGAGAGCTCATGGTGAACATAGAGTCTGTGGGCCACTTGGCTGCCTCCCTGCTGGCAGTTGGAGGAGGTCTGGAGCCTGATTCCAGGTTTGACATTCCAGATGTAAGCTCCATTCCCCAGGACACTGTGTGCATTTATGTGCATCCATGTGCATCCATTCTTGTGTCTAACTTGGCAATCTGTCCCGCCAGCTTTGTGGAGGGACCCTGTGGTCTGTGTGTCCCTGTCCTTCTGGGTTGTCAACAGTCCTTGGGACCCAGCTAGCAGCCAGTTGAAGACATCCTTTTGGGAAGCCGTTGGCGCCGTGGGCTCCTGCTGGGGTTCTGGTCCTGCCATGGCATTCCAGAGGACGGAGGGCATGTCCATGATCCAGGCCCTGGCCATGACGGTGGCTGAGATCCCCGTGTTCCTGTATACAACATTTGGGCAGGTAAGGATGGGTGAATGAAACCCTGAGCTCCAGGGGCCCCTCAGCGCCTGGCAAAGCTGGGTCCTTGTTACTGCTGTACTAGGCGTTTGGTGTCGTATCTTTGATCAGGAAAAGAAGAACTAGGTTAGGAGTCTGGGTTAGGTCTTCACCCTAAGACTATGTGAGCTCTCCACCTCTCTCACCATCTCTAAAAGGCATCACTAATGCCTCAAGTGGGAGCTCTGGTAGCATAGTGCCTAAGGCACTTGACTGCTAACCAGAAGGCTGGCGGTTCAAACCCACCAGCCACTCCTCGGAAGGAAG